GGATTGTTCTGCACAAGGGTTTGGTTCGGAATTTGAGGTAGCACGCCGGGATTGGCCGGCGAGGGAACGACTTGATTCTGCAGATGCTGATTCAAATGATGCTGGTGACAATGAGGGACTCGCTGCTCTGGCAAATTGAGCTTTGCCACTGAACCGTAGAGCTTTCGGGCCGCAACGTCATAAGCCAGAGCTGCTTCATCGGAGGTGTCGAAAGTCCCGAGCCAGAGCCGGGCCCCACGGTTCGGCTCACGGATTTCCGCCACCCATTTTCCCCACGTCCTTTGTCTGACACCCTTGTAAGTGCACATAGCATTCTCCGGCCCTCCCTTCCCCCTCATGCAACCCTTCCTCGAGCTCGCCTGCGCCGGCCACTTCGACGGCTTCCTTTCCTCAACCACAACACTGGTACTACCACCACCATTCATCTCCGACTTCAACATTGTGAGATTGTTATGAGATGAGTTGAGGATTATTTTCGTGAACTTTTATTTGGGTGGCGAGTTTGAGAAACCAGTAGTGATATTTATATGAGGAAGGCAAATTTGACCAGAAACGTGGCTTGTGGAGGATTAGGGTTTAAATATTTGGCATGGTGAACAGGAGATATCGTGTCCATGGCTAGACTCACTATTTAAATCTCTAATACACACTTGGCTTACACCTTTGTTTGCTTTCTTGCTCAGGTGGCAATAGGAGAGGAGCCTTATTCCAGTTGTGCTGTGCTTTTCATTTTTCATTTTCTTTCTTTTATTAAATCCGCCTTTTACAAGAAGATCATATCAGATTTTATTTAACTCAGAGACAAATCACATGTAATTGATGAATGATAGTAAGAGGGAAAATTTTTAAACTGTACACAAATATTAAATGAGTATTTCTGCTGAAGTAGAGTATATCTTACTGAAGCTGACTGACTAAAAGATTTGTTGACAACTGAAACAAGTGTCAGTTTTTCATTTTTTTTTTTACTTATTTAAATTTTTTATCCTACATCAAAATTATGACAAGATTGATTAATAAGTTTTAGTACAAAATTATTCGCTGTGTATAGTATAGACTCACAGTAAGATATCTCATATATGCTTAAGAAATTTGTTAAAATATGTTTAGATTTTAATTTTACATATTTAGTTCATTAAAACCATTTGTAACCGTATTTGACTCATATTAAAAGATGTTTGAAGAATCCATTGACACACATACACAGGTTAGATTTTCATTTTTATTTTTACTTCTCTTTTATTTATAACAAGATAAGAACTCTATTTTTATCTCTTCTTTTTCTCTCTATTTTCTAGTTTTCAATATTTTGGAAAAAGAAGTGTTTTGGGTTACCAGAGAAGGAGGGAGGGATGTTAACTCAGAGATAAATCGTAATGAATAATAGTAGAAGGAAAAAATTTAAACGGTACAAAAAAACTGATTAGGAGTATATGAGTATTTATTGAAGCATGGATATGTTTTATTGAAGCTAATTGACCGTCGAAATAAGAGAGAAACTTAATAATTGAGATACCTGAAAATTTTGTCGATGACAAGATAAACATGTTCACTTTATTTTTTTATTCTCTTACTACATAGGTATTTTTTTTTTTTGGATGATGGTAGTTTTTTTTAAAACATTACAATGAACATCCACGTCGGATATTAAAATTATAAAATTATGACCCAAGGATAACGGAAAGGAACAAATGGTATATATACAACAAGATTGATTAGTAAGTAAATTTTACATCAGAACCATTTGTTGGGATAGCAGAGACTCACAATAGATATCTAATAGATATTTAAGAAATTGTTAAAACTTGTTTAGATTTTCATTTTTCATTTCAAGATACTTGAAGAATGTGTAATGTCATGGAAACTAAATTTTCAAAACGAAATTTACAAATCAAATGACTGTGGTGGTTGATTATTAGATTATTACTTAAATGTTGATAAACGTGTTTATTTTCTATTAATGACACATCATTTAATTTGTAAATTTAGTTTAAAATTTTGGTCTTTTAGCATTGTTGTTTGAAAGAGTTATCGACACGGTGAGATTTTTTTTTTTCTTCACTTTTCTTTTATTTATAACAAGATAAGAACTCAATTAAGTCATCATATCTCTCTTTTTTTTCTTTTCATTTTGGAAAAAGAAAAGTGTTTTGGGTTGGGGGGAGGAATTTGGACGATTTAGTAACGGAGGCGGTGTGAACGGTTGGGGATAAGCCCTACGTTAGTTCCCTAAATCAGGGCTTGACAGTTCGCAATTTAGCATGCAAAGCTTGCATACGTGGTGTGTTTTGCTAAATCCCGTGGGTCCCTTGGGTCCCGTGGATCTGCGAGTTTTACGAAAAGGATAGGAAGGGATGGACGGCCCCGAGAGTGCGAGGATGACATCATCCTAATGGGGACAATGAATCTTACGGACTGATTCTCATTTCCTCCGTTATGTCGACGAAATATTTTTCAGTGTAATCGATATACATGATACATTACGTGTTATTATATAAATAATGTGTTTTATGTATTAAAAGTTAATAACTTAAAAAATAAAATTTCACTATTTATATAAAAACACGTGATGTATCATTCGTATTATCGTGATAATAAAAAACTTCTCTACGTTCACACTGTTGTTATTGTTCTTGTCCTGCAGTAAATCAATACGTACACACATATTCACTTGTAGTTATCTTAGTTTTGAAACATCTATAACCTAAATTTGCATTAGCTTTCTAAACACTGTCAAAATTAATATGTTTTTTTTTTCGTACATCGATATTTTTACACTAAAGAAAATGGAAGTTCTCACACAATGGGTAACCTAATTTGGTATCGAATTCGCCATCTACGATATTTGAATCTAAGACTTGTCACTTCTAAGTGAAGAGAAATACCACTAAACTATAATATTGAGTAGCGTCAAAATTAATATGTTACGACTTACATTACAAAAGAAATAATATCCTCAAACCTGTCAACTATATGATAAACAAAAAAGACAAAAAAACAAATGATACATCCTACAAATTTTATAGTTCTTTGTACGAACCGTACATTGACATCAGCTTTTAACAACCCTTAGAAGTCACATGCCATGATTCACGTATAAATACATATACCAATAATATTGTAAAGTTAAACCTTCAAACACCACATGTATAACACAGAAATATAATCACTTTTTGATATCTCAATTATGATTCTTCATTTTATCGCACTGAAAGAAGATTGAACCTGACCTAACTCTCTTATCTAATCTAAATTTCACCCCACTCAATATATCCAAGAAACATTATTTTGTTTACGGATTGAAGTATCAACGGAAGAACGATTGCTATTCATTCCTTCATGTTATTGTGTATATTACATAAACTAACTTATAAATTTTTCTCCTTCTTGAAGGATTGACCAAATAAAATATAAGTAACTGAACCCCAAAGGATGGGGAGCACTTTAGGAGTGTGTTGAACTACGTACTAAAGCGTATGATGACTTTCGTCAGTATTATTATAGAGTCAAGAGTTCATCATTAATGTCATCCTAAAAAATAAGGGATACGTCTTAATTCTATGATAATACTAACTGTACGACAAAAACTAAGATTTTAATCTTAAAATTTTAAGATCACTTCACTTACAGACATACACAGTTTTGTCAGTATTATGATAGAGTCAGGTTTACATTTTTATTGTCATCATAAAAAATAAAAATAAAGAAAAAGAATAACCCAACAATCCTATGATAGTACGAACTGTACGACAAAAACTAAGATCACTTCACTTACCAACAGATACAGTTTTGTCAGTATTATGATAGAGTTATATTTACATTTTTATTGTTATCATAAAAAATAAATATAAAGAAAAAGAATAACCCAGCAATCCTATGATAGTATGAACTGTAAAACAAAACTAATATTTTAATTATAAACTTTTAATTGTCACTTCACATATACAGATAGATACAATTTCGTATTATTAGAGTCAGAGTTACATTTTTATTGTGATCATAAAAAATAAAGAAAAATGAACAACGTATCAATCCTAGGATAGTACGAAATATATAACAATCTTAACTTTTAACTGTTACTTCACAGATACAAACACATACAATCATTATATTATTAATTACTGAATAGAAGACTCTTTTAGAGTTATCCAACTTTAACACTCAAAAATCACATATCATAACACATATAAACACCAATCTTTTTAACTTTTTAAAAATCCCTGTAAGGAACTGAACCCTTATGTAGTTTTTTTCTTATCTCAGTCCAACCTTCTCTTAATCCGAAGAACTCAATTCGTTCGCGGGTTTAAGGTAGAAAGACAAAGGAGAAAGGGAATAAAAAAATATTGCATTCATGCCTTCTTTGTAGTGTGTATTACATGATATACTCAATACATCATACATACACAAGTTAATGCATAAAAAAAAGGTTCTAGCCAGTCTCACTCAATTGCAATGCTTCGTTTATGCCTCGGCACTTCCGTAGACCTGCTCTTATCGCCTTCAACATTTCGTTTACTCTGATGCCTTTCCTGCAAAAACCAAAGGCAATTTAACAAAACTTTTACTTAGGCTGCTGTTGTTGTTACTACGCAGAACTATGCAGGGCCTGTTGTTACTACATAGAACTAAGCAGGGTAGCTCCAATTATAACGAGCTTTATAGATTTTCACATGAAATAATCTGTCAAGCAAAAACTTATTGACGAAAACCAATGGAGAAAAAGAGTAGAGAGAAACAGAAAAGAAGTTTAGACATAAAACTCAAGACGTTAGAAAGCATAGAAGATGATAGAGATGAACTTACAATACGCTGACACCAACAATGGCAAGGAGTCGTGGATAGTCCTCAATATCTTTTTCCTTTCGGTCTTTACTCAGAAATCTTGATGAACTCACATCTGCATTTTAACCTTCAGATGATGGTTGTTGAACTGCATCAATAATGCTCGTTTCTGACCCATAAGATGCGTTATCAATACCAAGTCTCATTATTTCTTCAGTCGAAGATGGAAGCCTGTCCTTTGCCTAAAATGCAGATATATACTGATATTAATCAAAAATGAAATTTAGGATATCAAAGTATCTCATAGAACAAGGTATTAGTGACAAGCAAAGAATAGTGATTAGAACCGGGAAGCATTTTCACGCCAGAAAACCAAACAAAAAGAGACGAACCTGGGGAAGGTCAATTTTATTGAACACCACTATGTATGGTCGTTCAAGGTAATCAGGATTATACACTCGCAATTCCTGAAAATTATAAACAGCAGTTCGCAGGTCAAACAACAGTTGGCTAAAATGGCAGTGAGGTATCTGTACTACAACAGCCAGCTAGAAGGACACATGAATGAGGGCACACATACTTCCTTGACAGTTCTGTAGTCATTCACAGGATTCTCGGCTGCTGCATCAACAATATGGACCCTCAGATGCCTCGAGAAATTGCGACCAAGACCATAAAGGAGGACAGAGTTTGAATTACGAGAGTTGGAGCTTTACAATAAGCGATAAACATGATAACAAGCATTACCTTGCCAAGATGAGCGCCTTCAATAAGACCAGGCAAATCTGCAAAAGTTGCTTCAGAAGAATACATCCCTGGCCCTAAACTTGGGTCGCCATCAAGGAGTCCAAGGTTTGGCATTAAGGTTGTGAAAGGATAATCGGCTATATCAGGTCTTGCAAGTGTGGTGGCGGCCAAAAGGGTTAATTTTCCAGCATTTGGAAGGCCCCGCAACAAAGGCAGGTAAATATTAGGAATCTAAAGACCATACATATACCTTCTATAAGTAGTCTTACTCCATTTCTTTCTTGTTGAACCATGAAACACCAAAATATAAGGTTTTTCTCTTTGATTCTAGTCCAAATTAACTTGATCAAAATATGTATTACTCTATTTAGATTGTAACTTGAAAAAGTCTAGTTAGATTTCCCTTCTCGTCGAAATTTGCTAACCAGTGTAAGGAACTGCTGAAGAATCACTACCATAAGACCAATAGTAAGGAATCAGCTCAACTGCGTCAAGTTTATTACAATACAGCAAATCAAAACTGGAAACTAAATCCGATAAAGTACAATCTGGTCTGACAGATTTTGTGCTCAACATGGTGCGATATTGTTTCTTTTTCGGAAAGCTAGGTACCAAGAAATCGCTACCACCAGTTCCATTAAAACCATGGGGATATGATAATTGAACTTCTAAGACAGAACTTCAAACAGAAAAATGAACCCCACAGAGAAATATACTCGAAAAAATATAGAGCACGGGAAAGCAATACTTACAACCAAACCAACATCAGCAACAACTCGTAGGATGAATACCAAACTGATCTCCTCTCCCGGTTGACCAACTGCTAAAACCTGCAACAACTCGTAGAAACACGTTAGCACAACTATACCTTATCACTATCATCTCTCATCACATTTGTGGTCAGAGCCATCACCTTTTTCTTACTACGCTCTGGCATTTCTACCAAGCTAATCTGCCACAAAAGCCGAAAAAATTAAATGTAAACTGCAGATTAGCATTGACATGCAAGTTCGCTAACCTGCATAACCGCCTAGACAAGTTATATGATACGAAGATTGAGGCTATCTTCCCAATTGCCAAAATTTCTCAATCTATAAGAAGCATGGTGTCTCGCCCCTCCTTGTCCACCCCTCGCCACAAGAATTTCGTCCCCTGGCCATGCTAGATCAGCCAACAACGTTCCTCGTTTACGCTTCACAGCCAACAACGTTCCTCGTTTATGCTTCACTACAGTACCTATATCGCAAAAACACAAATTAAATTGACCATCCTACCACATTATCATCACCGATTATACCTTGAAGAAAAAACTCCCAATTCATTACATCCACAGCACGAAATCATAACAAAAGAACACAAAACAATAAACAAACCGGGAGGCACGGAATACGCAGAGCCGGAGCAGAAAGTCCATTGTGCTACTGGGATGTCAAGACCCCCATTGCAGCCACATTGCCACCGCGTTTCGCATTGAACCTGCTTTTCGTATGAAATTCCAACAACGGATCTTTACCCTCATCCGCATAAATCACAACATCACCTCCATGGCCGCCCACGGGGAGAACAACGGCCACACCAAAATCCCTTTTCAGCAAGCTCTTCCTCCTCAGCTTCTCCTTCTCATGTTTCCCCTGCGACGGCTTACTGGGAGGTCTCTGGTTCGGCATGGCGAGGACCGCGCCGTGGCCTCCGTCTCCTGAACGAACGGTGATGATCACCTGATCAAAGTACTTGCGGGGTTCCTTGATTAAAGTATTGGGTTTTTGAGTAGAAGATAACCCCTTGGCTCTGGTGCTAATTCGGCAGCTTATTCCAAAAAATCTGACAATTTTCGAATTGTTCGAGTCCTGCTCTGTAAAACGCCATGGAAACTACTCGCGTGAGCAAATGAAGGTACAAATTACTGTCTGCTTAGTTGCTGCATTTAAGCGTTGAGAATTGGAGGAGAATATTTTACAGATTCATTGGGAAACCTCAACGTTCAGAGGATACCTTTGGGGGAAAGCGGTGCCATATAAGGAGGATTTGTGACGGAAGAGATAGGAAATTGACGGTGGCGGGGAGATGAGACGCCATATCCGGATGGAGAAGCGGCGCGAGTGAGCGAGCAAGGGAGGGAGGGAGACAAACAGTCCAACGGACAAGGACGAGGTTACCTTTGCGGTATTTCAAAAAGCCCAATTTTCGACACTGTCATTTAATACTATACTCTGGTTTAATTTTTCTTCGTTAGTAATGAAGAGGTCCAAAGTTAGAATCTCCTATAATTTTCGACACGTGTTAATTTGTCATTTAATGTTACTGTGTTGTTACATTTTTCTTCACTTGTAATTAGGAGGTCTTAAAATCCCCAGTATGCTCGCAACGTGTGGATAAACTTTGGATCAATTTCAATAGATAGATTACACAAGTTTTGCGAGTCTTAAAACAAGCACCATAACATATGCAAGCCTTGCATTAAAGCCTAAAGAAAAACCATTGGCACATACCCCATCCGAGCTTTCTATACGACCCACCAAGTTCACCTCCTTCGATTACTACTTCTAAACATGAAATAATGGATGACACACCAAATCCACATGCGGGAATGCTGTCGGAAGCAAACTAGCCAAACTGTAGTATACGCGAACTCAGCGATCGCCAATCATCCCCATCTGGTGCTGCTCCAAAGGTTTCATACATTTAGCTTCTAATAAAATCCTCCAAAGAAAATGGAGGATTCCCATTCTGCAAAAACCAAGTAATACTAAGTAACGCAATTTTGCAATGCACGACGCATTTCACTTATCCTATCACCTAATTACTTGTTCATCCTTCGTACGAGCATATCGCTTTAACATGGATAGTTTAGGCCTCTGCAATCCCAATAATAGTATGGTACTTGGATATGGACCAAATAATCTAGTCAGTTTTGAAATGAGGATAAGCATCAAATTCTGCAAGGCTAACCAAAGTCGGATAGTGAAAGTCGGGCTTAAATTTTCCCAACTGCAGCCCGAGAACTGAACAAAAATAAAAATCAAGTGACTGCATGTTACCTTGACATTATCTTCAATCATACATTGTCTTACTACTGTTGTCTGTTGTATTAGCCTTTCCAATGCAGAGTAATCGGGCAGGTTTGAATGCCCTGAACCAGGAAACACAATAAAAACCAGTGCATTAGCGATTGTTTCAAATATAATCAAAGAAAATAAGGATATGATATTGGCAGGGTATGGATATCTCTGCAAAAGATCGAAACAAATATGATACACAGATGTAAGGAATGTGGGAAACAAACCAAGAATCGCTTGATTCAAACTATCTGCAACTTCTTGCCGATGATCCAAGCTAAGCAAATGAAACACAGGAGACTTCTCCGGTTCGTCATAAGCAAGCAGAGCCATTAAATCCTGCAGCAATATCAAACTTGAGTTCCATACGGACATGAATAAACATACAAAAAACATACACATATACTTATAAAAGGAAACTTAAGAGTTTGAAGCATACTTCAAGCTTAGTAACGTATTTGTCCACCTTCCCAAAGGGGGCCAACTTGTCTGGGCGAATTCCAAAGCTTCTGTGCTGCCAAAGAAATAAAGAATTAAAATAGCACAACGTGCACCACAAACAAGGTGTCATTGTAATTTTGCTCACCATTTTTTAGCGCAAACAAGTTCAACAAAGTGCAGGCTAAGAAGGCCAAAATGCAAGTCTTTGTTTTTCTCCAGTAACTCAGGTGCCAGCTCTTCCGTCAGTTCAATCGCCTTCAGAGCATTCCCCTCCACTGCACATTGAAAAATCCCTGAAGACAACAAAACATACAATTAGCACCGTCATCGATCAACCAATCCAAGATATCCCCAATAACAGTTGTTTAGGGTCCGTTTGGAACTGCCACTCCTGCTCATAAATTACCTTTCTTTTTTTTTTCGTTTTGGAAACTGCTCATAAATACTTTTGCTATACTTTTCTATATTATAAACAGGTTGAAACCTTTACGCTTCCTAAACAAGCTTCTCTAGAAAACACTTCTGTGACCCAAAATCACTTTTAAGTTTTTCTAACCACCATAATCAAAAGCGCTTTTAGTTGGTAGTACATGCTTTTAGAATCCCAAAAACCAATCCCAACGGTCCCAAAACCATTCGATACAATGTGTTCAATCATTATATGACAGTAAACTCGACGTCGTTGCAAACCTACTTTTCTTTTCTCCATATCCTCAACGCAGTCGGCAGGCTGCTTCGTCCCCGTCGAAGCAACAAACGACTCCACAGTTTCTTTGTAGCAGTTATGCACAAGGTATGACAGAACAATACTGTTGATATCATTGTCATTGATAGCCTATCAATAAAACACCAAATGAAAATCCCCATTAAAAAAAGATCAAATATATATATATATATATATAATTCGAGTCCAACATCCCCAATTGGGCAAATGCAGCAAGCCCTAAATACAAAATCAACGAGTCAATATCTAAAATCGATGAAATTTAACACTAATTGGGTAAGTATTGTGTAATCCTTGGGTTTTGAATTGCAATAAGACTGTGGAATTGCAATAATTTGGAAAATTAAGAACAGAAAACTGGAAACTTACAACTTGATTGAAGTGACGAGGATCGACGTCCATGATTCGCCGCGTTCTGAAATCCTGCGGTGCGGAATGAGGCTGAGGAGCGGAGGCGGGCGCGGCTGAGGAACGGAGAAAGAAAAGGGAGTTCCGTCTCGGTCCGACACGACGAACGATGTTACGTATCGGCTGGCGAATCCGAGTCAGTTCGAGTCACTGGAGAGGGTGATCCGATCTCTATCTTTAATTCTCGACTTTATACCGCTATTCACTGTGTCTATAGGTTCTTGTACACGTGCCTTGACTAGGTTCTATAAATTGTGGGGAAAACGTGGGTCGACCTGCAAATAATGTCACGTTTTTTTTTTTTTTTTTCTTTTTATAAAAGATGATAATTGGTAGTAAGTTACATTTATTCATTCTTTTTAGAAGCTAGACATTATAAAAGAAGAAAACTGCAATAATGTCACAAGTCTGGCTTCATGTCACATTGTCATTAACTTTCACTAATGTTTGATAGACCAAATTTTAAGATTACATTTGTAAATCATGTGATATATCATTAATAAAAAAATAAACATGTTAATCGACATTTAAGTAATAACTTAATCATTAGTAACCATGTCATCTGATTTACAAAATATAGTTTAAATTGAGGATCTCTCTAGCATTACCAGTAACTATGTGATCGATTCTATGATTTATTTTGTTGGTATTAGATTTTTTTATTTATTTTATTTTTTATTTATTTTCACATAAGTGATACGTGGATTAGAAATTTGAACTCAACGCCTAAAATATAAAATTTAGTATTCTCAATCAACTGAACTACAAATAAAAATAAAATTTAGTATTCTTAATCAACTGAACTACAAATTTTTATGGAATAAATTCTAATGTTAACATGTAGCATTAGAGTAGGAGAAAGTTTAATCGGTGAGGGCAAAGAAGAAGAGAAAAATCGGCGAGGACAAAGAAATGCTCTTTACCAATTAAGTTGCACTGCCTAAATTTGAAATATTCAACACAATTATTATTTCAATATTTTTCTACTAACTAATGTGATGTATAACATAACAAAGTTCGTTGTATACAAAAGGTGGGATAATAGTTGGTTCTAGGGATGGGCAAAATACTCAGGGGGTATAAGTATTGTCACATCCTGGCCCGGGCTCCCACCACATCCCAGGCTCGACTCCTCCGTAGCACGATATTGTCCGCTTTGGGCTCCAACCACGCCCTTACGGTTTTGTTTCTGGGAACTCACACGAGAAATTCCTAGTGGGTCACCCATCATGGGATTGCTCTCGCGCGAACTCGCTTAACTTCAGAGTTCCGATGGAACCCGAAGCCAGTAAGCTCCCAAAAGGCCTCATGCTACGTAAAGATGGAATATACATATGGCGATGTGGGATCTTATAATCCACCCCCCCTTAGGGGCCCAACGTCTTAGTCGGCACACTTCCGGTTAGGGATTGGCTTTGATACCAAATTGTCATATCCTAGCCCGAGCCCCCATCACATCCCGGGCTCAACTCCACCATAGCATGATATTGACGCCCTCACAGTTTTGTTTCTGGGAACTTACACGAGAACTTCCCAGTGGGTCACCTATCATGGGATTGCTCTCGCACGAACTCGCTTAACTTCGGAGTTCCGATGGAACCAGAAGCCAGTGAACTCCCAAAAGGCATCGTGCTAGGTAGAGATGTGAATATACATATAAGACTTACAGGATCCACACCCCTGGGCGATGTGGGATCTTACAGGTATACAATACTTGAATTCTTGATGTAGATGCTACATAGTTGGTTCTCATCCTCCAGAGATTACGAGTGTAATAAGAGCATTCGTCAACAAAATGATCACCCTAAGATTATCATCTCATGGCTAACAAACTAGACCTGTAAACGGGTCGGGTTTATTGGGTTTGGGTCGGGTTGAACCCGACCCGTTAAGTTAACGGGTCATCTGAACCCAACCCGTTAAGCTAACGGGTCACCTGAACCCGACCCGTTAAGCTAACGGGTCACCCGTTTCATCCGTTATCACCCGTTAACAATTATTATTATTATTATTTTTTGCATAAAGTTTATTTTTTGTTATTAAGACTTTACTAAAATAACTAAAATATCCTCAACTAACGGGTGCTAACGGGTGTTAACGGATGTTAACGGGTCTAACGGGTTGACCCAAAGTGACCCGTTATTTAACGGGTTGTTAACGGATTCACCCGTTAGCGACCCGACCCGTTAAGCATCCACCCAAATACAAATATTAACGGGTTGGGTCGGGTCGGGTTAACGGGTTGGGTCCAAAATGCCAAGCCTATAACAAACCCTAAACCATTTATTTTAATAAAAGCATTTTTCTTAATATGAACATAAGTGCGTTTTGGATATAAGCGAGCAACTAATCATTTACGCTTTTAATTTTTCCAGCAAAAGTTCAAGAATTGCATGTGTACACGAGAGGGAAAGAGGCATGTGTGTTTTGATCAAAACTTTTCCGAGAAAAAGGGCGACAAGTACGAGGCATTATTAGCTAAAAAATATTTCCATTTCTCTCTCCGTGATAGACCTTCCCTCTATGTGAGGGTTAATCTCACTGATCTGTGTGAGTGGTCCCTGATCGAGTCCATTTCTAGTGTTGCTGATCCTAGCTCCGGCTGGGATCAGTGGGTTTTCTTTTGTTTCTTTCTCCTCTTCTTTCCGTTGTTTTCTTCCCTGGGTTTTTTGGCTGATCTGCCATATTCTCTCCCCTTTGATGTCTCTCATCCATTTTCATCCAATTTCCTAGCTTTCATCACCCTTTATCGCGATTTGTTGCGGTGTTTCGAGTTGGTGTGCTTTGATCTGGTGTTGGCACTGGATCGAGTGTTCATTGCACCCCCACCTTCTCTTTGTTGTCTTCCCTTGTTAACAGTGTTGCTCGTGGACTGCCATGAGTTTCTTTCACTTGGCTGTAGGTTCTTTAGGGTCTGTAGTTATGCTGGGAGTGAAGCTTGGAATTGATTGCTGGTGTTGGTGAGGCGTGGCTTTGTTTGGAGACTGAATTTGACTGGATCGACATGTACGACTGCTATTTTGGTGGTTGCAGCGGTAGTATTGGCAAAGGTTGCGGCGACTCTGGTTGTTTCTGTGTGTTCTTTGTTTTGGGCTCAACTTTTGGTTAGGCCTCTGTTAGTTGTTTGTGTTTTTCGTTCTTGGGCCTCTATGTTGTAAATTTTGGACCTCTGTGTTGTAGTGTTTGTATTGTTTGTTGTTGGTAATGTATGTTACCTTTGCTCCAAAAAAAAAAATAATAATCCACAGCTTCTACTTCGGAGACTGTGGTCATATTTCAGTTCGGGAGCTTATTTAACAGACGAGGACACTTATATGGCCGTGACTGGAGAAGATATACTCCAATCAATCTCACTTGCTACACTCTTGTGCTTTATGTATAGATATATACACACACACTATGGTCCCTCAACAATCCCTTCAAATTAACTTTACCAGTCATGATATGTACATATATATATAGACACTATGGTCCCTCAACAATCCCTTCAAATTAACTTTACCAATGATATATACATATATATATATATATATAGACACCATGGTCCCTCAACAATCCTTTCAAATTAACTTTACCAACTAATAAATGGGTAAACGGAAAAAAAAAAGGATAAACAGGTAAAAAACAGCTAAACAGTTACGGTTAAATGGGTATGCATTTATGGGTATGATTGACCGTTAATAAACGATTATGGGTATGAGTATAACCTTTTAGCCAATTACCCTACAGGTAAATGGTTACATGGGTAAAAACATAAACGGTTATGGATAAATAACCGTGGTTACTTGCCTATCATAACCGTTGTCCATCCTTAGTTGGTTCATCATTAATGTTGAGTTAATTTACAATTCACGCGATTATTTGTTACGAAGGTTTCATTTTTTACACTATTTTTACAATTTAACTGGTATGAAATTCAAATGACAAACTAGCTCTTAGTATTACTATTACTATAAGAGATTCTGACTTCGAGTGCCTTCTCTTAAACCTAGCAAGTTGACATACCACTATATATATTATAGGTGTTACTAGCACAAATTGAATATTTCCCAAGAAACCATTAGCTTCAATCTAATACAAATTTCTAGATCATAATGAGGGTAATTGTAGAGTCCTTACATGTCATCGGTAGCAAGAAATTGAAGAAGTTGAGGTTTCATCATAAAACCAATGGGTAATATGGGGAATTGTCCAACTACTTATAAGCACATGTAAGGTCACTTCTCTCATGCCCCCTCATGTGTGGCTAATTTTCAAGTCTAACAAGTGAACAATACAACTCGGGTGACGTGGAGTACGTGTGACTGTTAGGCTTTACATGTGAGACAACTTGCTCTGATACTAATTACTTATAAGTAGTTGTGAGGTTCATCCTCTCATCAACATGGGAAGTAACCCAACTACACATGTAAGATTTATCATTTCATTAATGTGTGACTCATTCTCAATATAAACGTCATATAAGTTACCTTTTTATGTCATATAAAAATGAGAGCAAGAAGCTAAATCTAATTTTAGGAAAAATACATGGAATGAGTTTATCGTCCTGCTTCAAATGACATTACATTATCCGATTGAGAAAGCCACAATCATGATAAACTCGTTACAAGGAAGTCCTTCCCCTAACTTAAGGTGTCGAATAATACTTTATCACGTGCAATCAATATTTAAAAAGTACTCTTACAACAAGTCTACTCGAAACAAGTTACAATATGTCGTTACTTAGTCATTCTCATATTAATCCGAGCCGAACTCGAGACCTCTTTCGACTAAGTGGAGACCTGATGCCGCTAACGAATGCCCCTCATTACTGGTCCAACCGTATCACTACGAAGAGGGTCCCACTACAATCATACTTCATACCAAAAATGTCCAATTTTTAATGGTCTAGACCCTTGAAGAAACTTCCTCCAATTGGACAACGTCTATACAATACAAGTATACGGTCCTCCATACTTCTAGCTATACAAAGGCAACCAACAACCCCTCGAAACCCCAAACCCAGCACAATGAACCCCTTCGTCTTTCTTTTTCTCCTCCCAACTCTCCTCCACCTCTCCCACACCTGCCTCTCTTCTCCGCCGCAAACCGCCGCCTCCGAGCTCTTCGAAGCTTGGTGCAAACAGTATGGCAAGTCCTACCCCTCACCGCAAGAAAAGCTCCGCAGGCTCAGTGTGTTCGAGGGCAATCTCAACTTTGTCACCCGACACAACGAAATGGGGAATTCTTCTTATACCCTTTCTCTCAATGCGTTTTCTGATCTCACCCACAGCGAGTTCAAGGCCTCCCGATTAGGCTTCTCGCCCTCGTTCATCGGTCTTAAGCGTGAACCGGATAGAAAACCCGGTTTATTGGCTCGTGATGTTCCTTCTTCGATTGATTGGAGGAAGGAAGGGGCGGTGACGAAGGTTAAGGATCAAGGGAGTTGTGGTAAGCTGATTTTTGTTCTGAATATTTAGGTTTAATTTAATGAGAAGTGAGTAAAATTTTGGGTTGACTTTTGTCTTTTAGTTAATCATTTGCTTTAATATCCATGATTGCAATTTTGATATTGTTTGTGATTTGAGTTTGCCTGAAATCTGGTTTGTTAGCACCAAATGTTATGAGAAATGAGGCAAATTGTGGTCCGTCTGATAACCATTTCGTCGTTTAAGTTTTTAGTTTTCATTTTTGTTAGTAACGATAACGAGAGTACTCGGGGGAATGGAGAGGTGAAGAAGGGTGGAGACGAGTGTTGAGAGTGAATCCTACATCGGGGAATTACAACGTTGCTTAACAGTTTAAATGATAGTCAACATCTCTCTAACTCCGCCTGTGTAACTTTATCTTACGCTGCTGGTCCCAAGCTTGGATAAAGGAGGGGGAGCGTGTTAGGTAGTCGGCAGTAGACACTTTGTTCTTCATGCCGAATTCCTATGATATTGAACCTCTCCCTGGTATTCTCCAACTGGTTCTTGGTTGGTGCTCACATTTTACTAGAAGTATGGTTGGAGGGATTGGGGACGAGAAATGTATGTCAAATGGTACGCGAAATGAAAACTCAAAAACCAAAACCCATCCTTTCTGATTTCTTGAAAGGGGTTTGTTTCATGCAGTTTTTACACCTTGTGGTTTTCTTGACGTAAATTCTGAGTAATGCCGTAATGCTGCTTGTATTTTTGCATAGGTGCTTGTTGGGCATTCTCAACTACTGGTGCCATCGAAGGTATCAACAAAATTGTCACAGGTTCACTTCTCAGCCTTTCCGAACAAGAGCTGATTGATTGCGACAGAGTTTATCCAAACAGCGGCTGCAGTGGGGGACTTATGGACGATGCATTCGAATTTGTCATAGAAAACAATGGGGTCGACACTGAGGACGATTACCCGTATAAAGGTTCGGATGGCACCTGCAATAAGAAAAAGGTATTCAACTTGTTGGAGAAAAGATGTTTTAATGGTACAGATGCTCTGTTTTCTTACATTGTTACTAATCCTCTGGTTATTTCATACATTTTAGTTGAAGAGACATGCTGTGACCATAGATGATTATACTGATGTGCCGCCAAATGATGAGGAACAACTTCTACAAGCTGTGGCAAATCAGCCTGTGAGCGTTGGCATATGTGGCAGTGACATTGCATTTCAGTTGTACTCGAAGGTTCGCCTTAATCCTCTACACCAATCCTGTTAGGTCAATGACGGATAATCATAATCGTTAGATGTCTTAAGTGTGTTAACTCATGTTTATGTTTGTGTTACAGGGAATTTTCACTGGTCCGTGTTCGAATTCTTTGGATCACGCTGTTCTAATCGTAGGTTATGGTTCGGAAAATGGGGTGGACTATTGGATTGTGAAGAACTCATGGGGAAAAGGTTGGGGAATGAATGGCTACATCCACATGCTACGTGATCATAGCAATTCCCAAGGGGTCTGTGGCATCAACAGTTTAGCTTCATATCCGATAAAGACCGGGCAAAACCCTCCTCTTCCTCCGCCTTCTCCTCCCCCAGGTCCAACCAAATGCGACCTCTTTACGCACTGCGCAGCAGGGGAAACCTGCTGTTGTGCCAAGAGGTTTATTGGAATATGCTTTGCTTGGAGATGCTGTGAGTTGAACTCTGCTGTTTGTTGCAAGGATCACAATCACTGCTGTCCCCATGATTATCCCATCTGTGATACAGAAAGGGCGCTCTGCCTCAAGGTTTGTACGAATCTTTCCTCGTAAAACATAGAGAAATGATTTCCGCACACTAATCACTATCATTGCGTGTTAATACACTCCACCACATATCAAAATGAACAGATTCTTCAATTATTGTACTAAATTTAGTCCATTGTTGCATTGCAGAGTAGCGAACTATCAACGCAATCCCAGGCTACTTCGAACGTAACAACAAAAGCGCTCATGGGCAGAAGCGTTTTGAGGAATTCGAGCCGGTAACTTAGTTGAGGGTTGGATCCTTTGAACTTCCTTTGCAGAGTGTAGTGGTAAATTTTTAATGACATGGTGAGGCACATTTCTTTGCCACAGGATACAGATTCTGTATATAAATTGCAAACGAACAACTCCTGTTGCACTCGCAAATGCCAATTTTGTCTAAATTATTCATTGTTCATGTAATGTAACATGTAATATTTACTCAGTCCATCTGAATAAAATTTTAGTTCACCTCGCAACAATGAGAGTAGTGACCGCCATTCTGTCTCGTCCGCCTGCTGGCCCAAGGACCAACAGGCGAGGCGGACAGAGAACAAGCAGCAAAGAGTTGTGTTTTCGTTTCTTTGCTTTGTTGAAGGGCCGGAACTTCTAATACAAGATTGTCAAATTGTCAATTAACATATTTGTATGATAACCATTTCGTTTTTCGTTTTTTTTAGGGAGGGATTATAGATTGTTAGATTAAGAGATCGGTTTATAACCATTTCGTTTTTTGTTTTTATAAGAGATCAACACACATGAATGCCATATAAAGTAACGAAAGTATGTGCAAAATGAACTTGTAATTATATCTAAAAATCTAGGAAAAAAAGAAAGCAAAATTGAAAATTTTACAACTTGATTGCTTTAGTTCATCCTTTGTAGAGATTGCAGTGGTACATTGGGTGCAATTCCAAGACCTCAATCCCAATTTCCGTTCATTTTTCACGCCGACGGGAAGACGTCTTTGACGGCGGAGGCCGCCGTCAAGTAATTAAGCGTGTTCCTCAGAGTCTCCTTCTCTCTCTTAAGCCGCGCCGCCGTGTCCTCCAGTTCCAGCAACGCTTGCTGCTCTCTCGGCGCCCCTTCGAAAGTGCTCCCAACGAAAAACGAAAACGGCGTCGGAAACAGGTTCCGCCGCAGGTCCTGCACATCCTTCTCCGGCTTCCCGCCCAACCGATTTGACAACCGAATCACATCCTTCATATACGACTCGACCTCGCTGGCCAACGCCTCCAGGTCCTCCTCGCCGTCGTTCGACGGCCGGTCTTCGAGCCATTTGACCTCGGCCACCAGGTAAGGTTTGGTACGGACGAGGTCGGTGACCCGGAACCGCTCCTGGCCTTTGCAGATAAGGAAGAACCGGTCGTCGACGAGGCGCTCGTGCTTGACGACCTCGCCGACGCAGCCAACGTCGGCGGTGCCGGAGACGGCATCATTGTAGATAACCCCGAATCGGAGATCGGTCTGGAGGAGGGAGTGCATCATGATACGGTAGCGGAACTCGAAGATCTGAAGTGGGAGGATGGCGCCGGGGAAGAGGACGAGGGGGAGGGGGAAGATGGGGAGCTCGACGACGTCGTCTGATTTGGGCTGATTGGTGGGGTGGCGCTCAGAGAATGAGGAGGCGGAGCATCTGAGGGAGCCAGGTCGTTGGCGGCGGCGGCGGAGATGGGGGGAGAGGAAATTAGGGTTCGGGTTTAAGGGGGAGGGGATGGGATTGGGGTTGAAGGTGGGTTTATGGGGGAGGGAGGAGGAGGAAGGGGAGGGGATGAGCTGAGGTAGAGCCATTGGAGTGGTGTTTGGGAGGAGGAGGAGAGAGAAAGTAGTCAGATTGCCATGTTTTTCTGGAAAGAGTGAGTGAGAGTGGGAGTGACTAATTTTTTTTTTCTGGTTTTCTGTTTCTCTCCCTCTAAATTTTTAGAAAATGTGGAAAAATCTGGTGGCTTTGAGGCAGCGAAGGAGAAGTGGATAATATGGAGAGAGAAGGCAATAGAGGGAGAAATTTTCTTAGTGGGTCGGAAATACATGTCGAAGTAGTTAAAAATATTTTTTTTTAACTATTCAATTATTTGTATTATAACATTTAATGTATCGAATTATGTTTTCAGCACATTAAAAATCTCTTCAAGATAGGTGGTCGGCTTAGCAATAGCTTATTTGGTCTATCATTTGGTGAGAAGTACTGGATGGAGTAGGTTCACCACCATATAGCGTTTTGATTCAAAATTATGTTTTTGTGTGTAAGTTTTTCACCACGCGCGGTAATTCAATATTATATTGTTGTGTTTAAGTTTTTTGTCATAATACATTATATTATTAAATTACGATATTAATGAACTCAGTTTAATGTAAATTGTTGCTATAATTTGATAGATGGGAAAGGAATTGGAAATATGGGGAGTGTTTGGGATGTGGTTTTAGATTTCCCACGTGGAAGTTGGGCAAGTGGCTTTTATGGTTTGGTCTATCATTTTCATTCAAACACAAAAATCCACAACCCCTTTTTTATTTGTCCTCATTTCCACCCTATAATGTGTTAATAATGTTGATATTGTTAGGATAACGAGATCTGAACTCCAATTGTTTTTTCTTTCTTTTGATTCACAGAGGTTGAAAATTTTTATATTTGACGAAAATTTAACAAAATAACCGCATTAATATGTGACCGTGAAAATGATCATATTGTTGTGTGGTAGTCAGATCAATTGATTTTAAAACTCAGAAACCAAAACAAAGACTTAAGTCATTATCAGGGATAATTTGCGATGAAAATCTTGATATTTGTTTTTTATATTAAAAACGTCGTTTCCCCATTTAATTGCCGTTTATGCAATGGGCCTAAGCCGATAATGTTGATAGATAGGCGGAGAAATAAAACGGGCCGACTCTGTGATTGTCCAGTCCATTTATATAAATGGGCTGGAAAGTTTTAAGTTTTAACTCCTTTTCTGTTTGAAGAGAAAATCCCATTGTCCAAATTAGGTTTAAGGGAAGTCCTTCTATGTGTTTTCTAAAACAAACATTCTGATTTTAATAATTTTTGTTCAACTTCTGTGTATTTGATATTCAGTACTACAGTCTGATGGTATTTTTTTTCGCTTAGAAGTAAGAGGTCTTAGGCTCGAATCTTATGGATGGCAAATTCGATACCAAATTAGGTTATTCATTATGTGGTTTAGCTAATCATTTATTTCCCCAGTGTAAAAATATCGATGTACTAAAAGAAAAAAACAAAGCTTATCTGAAAGTTACATTATCAATTCAAAAAAAATTCAATTTGTAATTATAATTGTCACCATCAATATCAATATTTAGTAACAAAGAAAATAATAATTGTCAATTACGTACAACTAATCAGATGTGATTGGATAAGGTTGTGCAGACAATGTGCTCGCCCTCTCACTAAACTTCAAATCCATCTCGTTTTATATTAGAATGGTTTTTAAAAACTAAAAATAAAAACACCTTTAAACACATGATAGTTTTAACGAAAAGTTCGTGGTACTGTTCACTTTAACGAAAAACCACATTTTTATACTAAAAAATCGAACATATTACTATTCACTTTACCCTTTATTTTGCTATTATCGTTAAAATCCAAAATTTTTAAACTTTTTTCGTAAGTTTTCCTTTAAAACATAACTAAAGTAAAATAAAGATCAAAATCAATCTTCAACTACGTTGCACTTTTTTATATACCGGCGATATTTCAGGAAGTAAAATAAGCTTAAAAACTTAGAATTCAATTTTTAGTACTAATAAATCACATAATAATAACGAAAATACGGTGAAATATCCATGTGAGCTCCATTTACGACCACGTGGAATATTATTCCATTCCATTTTGGGCCTATCTGTGCAGGTAAAGGAATCCTGAAGGATTTCTTCTACTAAATTCGTCCAATCAATCAATTTAGATTTTTGAAATTTGATTTAACGATTAAAAACAGATATCGTTTTAAAAATTATAATAACTTTAACGATTGGATCAAATTTCAAAAATCCCGATTAGTTGATTGGATGAATCTGATGGAATGATCCCTCTGTCCAGATTTATTCTGTACCTTCCTTCACTACACGACAAAGTACATTAACGTCACTGCCTATGGGTGCTATGCCTCCGCCGCACCACGTACGCTGTTGACACCCGCGATTACCGTCACCACCGCACACGCTATTCACGCCCAGTGGCAAATCCGCAATAAACCTCGAAACATGACCTCTTTTGTTAAGGCCGGCCTATATATACGCGGAGCTCCGATCCCATTCCCAAATCATCGCGAAAGAATTGAGGTCTGAGAAAACCTAGATTCGCTTCGGAAAACATTTGAGAGAAAAAGAAGAAGAAAATGTCAGAAGAAAAAGTCATCGGCTGCCACTCTGTTGCCGCCTGGACCGAGCACCTCGAGAAGAGCCACGTCAGCAAGAAACTGGTATATTTTCAAATTTTCAATCGTTTATTTGCTACTTTTTTTTTTCTCGTAGACGGTAAATTAGTGAATTTGTATTGTTATTTGTAGTTCTGTGATGCTGTGGCTAAAACTCTGTTGGGATTTTGATTTTTCTTTCACCGATCTGGATTTGTGGCTAAAAATCTTGGTCAAATTTTCAAAAGAAAATGACTATTCAAACACTTATTTTCACGTTCGTACACTCTTGTTAATTTTTTATGTATTTCGTTGAATCTAACGGTTGAAAATTAAGAAAATTTAAAAGAGTGAAAATTTGATTTTTTTATCTGACGGCAGAAAATTAAGAGGTGTGTACTGGGAGCTGTGTGTGAGAAATAGAAATTGACGTGTGGTTTTCAAAATCAAGAACAATAATTGGGTTTGTTGAATCTGATGGTTGAAAATTAAGAAAATTTAAAGGAGTGTAAAATATTGATCTTTTTTATCTGACAGTAAAAAATTAAGAGGTGTATTGGGAGGTGTGCGTGAGAAATAAAAATTGGCGTGTGGTTTTCAAAATCAAGAACAATAATTGGGTTTGTTGAATTTGATGGTCGAAAATTAAGAAAATTCAAAGAAGTGTAAAAAATTGATCTTCAGGAAATTAAGAAGTGTGTATTGGGACTTGTGCGTAAGAAGTAAAAATTGGTGTGTGGTTTTCAAAATCAAGAACAATAATTGGGGTTTGTTGCATATTACAGTTTTGAAAAGATGCAATTTGGGTAATGGTTGTAAGACCTAGGGTTTACGGCTGTTTATCCTGCTCCCTTTATGTTGGGATTGCTTTGGTACATTGCTTAGCCTATTAAATATGTTATAGTTTGTGGTCAATTTCATTCTGAGTCAATAATACAATAATACAATGTCATGTGTTGTAACGGTCTTATATGACATTCTATTAGTGGTACGAGACTCCATGGTGGCATCCAAGGTGTATATAAGTCTCTCTTCTTGTTTCGAAGCGCTTTTAGATACATTTTTGGGTTCCAATGTGCTTCCTCAATTGAGCTCATAGATTTTAGTGATGCTTTGGGTTTGAATTTATTAAACTTTTGTCTTAAAGATTCCCGTTTGGAGAATAAAATGTCATTTTTTCACAATTCATTGCTTTAAGCTGCCGACCCCACTCAGCGGGATATGTTTGGTTGTGGTTTTCATTGCTTTAAGGCTTTATGCTAATGATTGCTTGTGAATTTTTGCATACCTAGTGATTGATTTCGTGTGTCTTTATACAATGTTTAGCAAATTAAGTTAAAACTAATTTGGTGTATATTTCAATAGATTGTGGTCGACTTCACAGCTACATGGTGTGGACCGTGCCGGTTCATTGCCCCCATCTTCGCGGAGTTGGCCAGGAAGAACCCGGAGGTGACATTCCTAAAGGTGGACGTGGATGAGCTGAAAACTGTTTCCGAGGAGTGGGGAGTGGAGGCAATGCCGACCTTCTTGTTCCTCAAGGAAGGCAAGGTAGTCGACAAGGTTGTGGGTGCTAAGAAAGACGAGTTACAGCTCAAAGTTGCGAAGCATGCAACTGTTGATGAACCCGCTACTGCTGGTGATCCCGCGACTGCTTCTGCTTAACTTTTCGCGTTATCTTTCGAGAATGTGAACCTCCTACTGTGCTTTGCTAGACGTTTATAACTTTTATGGGTTTCTTCAAGACATATGAATGTTTTATGTATATGACTGATGCCTCATGGCAAGTATCTATGAATGCTTTTATTTTGATGTTAAGATGGCATCACATATATCGCTATTGAGATGAATTTTCTTGACGAATCATATTTAATTGAGATGCTTCGAATTCAATAGTAAGCGTCGGGATTGCCCGTTCCCAATTATGTCGTTTGGGAGTTCATTCGAAATGATAGAAAGCGCTTTTATAAAAAATCTCTTTAGGTTTTAGAAACCTGAAGTGCTTCCTATAAGAAGCATATGACTGATGTTTATTAGAAGCATTTCAAGTATTTTTTTAAGATTTACTTGCATTTTTGCTAAATTGGTATAAAAAATATTTTTACTAAAAGCACTTTTAGCAATTTAAAAGCATGTCCAAACGAGCCATAGGCCGGAGAACGAGAGTCAAAATCTGAGCCATCTAATCAAACACAAGGTAAAAGCACGTGCTTGTGTTTTAGTACTTAAGGCAAAAGCACTTGCCTATGCACTCAATTTGCCTAGATTTGTATGTTTTATAAAGTACATGGTGTGGTGTGCATATAATGTCATCTGTGTGTTGAGGTTTTCCTCCACCTCCTTTTGCAATATCTTCATGTCCTCGAATTGGCTTCATCGGTCGTAACTTCTGTCGAACAAACAGCTTCAACAGACAGCCGCTTGAGTACGTTCGGACATGGATCTGTCTCGAAGGCGCTATTCGATACAGCAACTGAGCAACTCTCGCGGCCGATACAATTCTGCAAAACATGTTAACGGATATTAGTAAACCTGTGTGTGTGAAAGGACAAGAAAAGAAAAGAGTAAAAGATTATAGATGGGGAAATGCCTTCTCCACAACGGCGTGTGAGTTGGTCGCGTGACATGTTCCTTGCTGGAAACTCCCACAAGTTCCGCTAGGAGTTCCGAAACTTGCAAACTTAATGCTCGAGATAGACTGCCCTGGTGCACAATGCAGATGAACCTGAGCCTGATGAAGCGTTTTAGAATCTTCATTACCCTCGACATCAAAATTTTCAGCGTTCGGGTGGTTCTCATGTAAGTCACCACATACACCGGTCACTGATCTCCTCACTAGGGTTATCTTTGATGGATCTCCGCCTAGTTCCTCAAACACTACCACCAAATTTTGCGTTGGCTTTAACCATGAACGAGGAACATGATACCATCGTTGAGTTGGTCGGCCACAGTGAAGTTGACATTTCGTGGGTCGGAATGTCCCAATGTAACTGCACGAACTGCAGTCGCCTTTGGCATAAGCCATCCAGTATCTACCGATGCTCTGACCATTGATCCATACTTGTCCCTTTCCCATCCTCCTCATGTCCAACGCCAACGGCTCGTTTCCTCCAGGTGCATTGAAATAAGCCTGCACAATCCGAGATAACATTTAGTTTAGCTTCCAAAGCCAAATGCTTGACTAATTTTCATCACCATCTCGAAATCCTTACCTTGTACCATTTCAACGTCTGCTTGGTTTGAGTAGCTTGTGACCTTCGAATCCAACCAACCGATGATGCTCCGTTTGGAGAGACCAAATTCATTGCTTCTCCCTTAAGGCCGACCTGTTTGAAAGATTTTAACGAGATCAAAACCTCAGCGAAAAGTAGAGAGGGTAAGAATAACAAGTGACAGAAATGTATATTCGGCAGGTTGTCTGACCTTGTTGAACCACTTATGCAATGTTAAGTCTTTCTTTCCGTTGCCAAGACCATCCAGAAAAACCGGACCTTGGATTCCTGTTTTCCATGACTCGTAATGCAACCCGACATTCTTCAACACCAAAACAAAGAGTTTATGAGTTCGTTTACGGGCATCATCATTGAGTTTATGTGCACAAGTTTTTTGGAGTCAATGAGCTATGACTCTATGAGTAAGGCTCTAACCGGTAATCCAACAGCCATGCTGAGCAGTGCAATTCTGTTTATTCCAGCGCGAAGGTTGACTGGTTCATCAAATGTAAATTGCCTCTGCTCCCTAGTTCCAAACGCCGACCCTGTAGAAAATTATGACAATGTTTTAATTCCAGTGGAGAGTAAATTCCTGCTTGCTGTTGGATAACAAAAATTTGACAGCATACCTGAAAACTGTCCGTTGACGAAGACATGGAGGGCATGGCCAGCTGACTGCACAGTAAGAGTAGGCTTTTTTCCTCCGCTGAGGTCTGAAGAACTGATGTCAACACTGAATAGCATGGAAACCGAAAATGTCAAAGTGTGACATAGCTTAAGAAACGATTTTTGAAAGAAAGGATTGCATGGCTGCTCACTTCGTCATGTACCACAGATAGTCACTAGTATCTCTAGTAACATTTATCTGCTCAATAAGTCCGACAGCTGGTATGCTCGATCTCTCGTGTACAGAAGAGATATCTTCATCGTAAGTCTGCCATGAAAACAACCGACTGTTCGTTGGGATCATCTGCACATGTGATGTTTGAACTCCCACCTTGATGGAAAGCCAGTTGTATCAGTAAATTGAGAGATAGAGATACGAATTTATGAATAAAAGGACTCGCAATACGAGTGCCAACATCTTTGCTTACCTTTGCAGTGTTATATACTTCATTCCTGCAATCAGGAAGGATGCTAACAGACCAAGGAGGCAAATCATAGTGCTTGTTGTTAAAAGTCACCCTTGCTTCTACTGAATGGAAGTTTGAGAGAAACGCTGCGCAGCTTCTCGGTCCTGAATTGAATACATAAGCCTGGAAGATAACCAAGATATGTAAAGATTTTTCCGTAAGGTTGATAATGTAGCAGGGATCGTGCGATTGATGCAAGAAATTATGCGCATTCAAGAAGCCAAACCTGATGATAGGTTCCGAGTGAAGTGACGGTAGGCTCTGAAGAGAGTAAAGAATGTTCACATAATTTAATAGCCTTGTGAAGCTCCTTCAGATGACCGTATTTTGGTTGTCTGATCAAACCTAAAAACAGTTGGGTGGTTAGTTCCATGCCCGATCATGAGACAGAAATCGAAAATCAACTGTATTATGAATTCATCGAAAAAATTTAGACTTTCATACTAAATTTGTACCGTATTCATCAATGGGGGCATCATAGTCGTAACTGGTTGTAATGAAGGGGCCTCCAGCAGTGCGTCCGAAGTTTGTTCCTCCATGATACTGTCATAAACCATAAACGGCGAAACTCAAATTTTCAGCCGGCACTCTTTTAAAACTAGGAACTGATGAACAAGGAAACTAACCATGTAGTAATTCACAAATGAGCCGCCCCTTTGTATGAATCGAGCAACTGCGAATGCTAAATCTTGAACAGGTCGATGGTGAATTGTGCCACCAAACTCCGTAAACCTGATAAAATTTTGTTGCATTGATGGAAAATTAGAAGAATGAACATTAATACACTCAGCTAAATTCCGAACATTGGTTAAGATCGACTTACCAGCCGCTCCAAGCTTCCGTCCACATGGTAGGCTTGTAAGGTTTGTTGGGAGTGAATCCATCGCAGTAAAAACCGTTGCATGCATTTATCTGTAACCAAGATATAGTAACATCGAGAAAGGATTACGAGCATCAGAGTTATCCAATCCAATCCAATCCTAGCGCACCAAGAAAACCAAAAACAAAAAAGACAGCTAACCATAGGGTCCGGGGCATCATCTTCCTTGCACATCACCCATGGTACTCCCGTATCCAATCCAACCGCCATTTTAGCAGCCCAGTTAATGTAGTTCTGTCCAGCAACTCCAAGTGCCTTCCGCTCCGGTCCATACTCATTCTCAATCTGCACAACTCAAAATTCAAAAATCGAGTTGAACAAGTTCATCAAAGAATTCAAACATTTTCAAGCAAACGTAGTCGAATTCCAGCGGATCAAGTTAATCGAAACTCGAATACATTACCTGGGAAAGGATGATAGGACCACCTTGTGATGCAAATAGCTTCTCATTTTTCATCATCTGGACAATCTTCTGGGTAAACCCTTGCATTGCCATCTTCACCCACAAAACAAAAAGAACAAAGTTCTAAACTACTGTAATCTACGGAAAAGGGACGAGCACACTGCTCTAGCCAACTCACCTAATCCACGTCTGTCTGCGACTAACCCTCTGATTTCATCAAAATCTAACAAAATATAGATCTTTCAGTAGAAATTTTTCAAGAAGAAAAATACCTTAAATGGCTCATTATCTGTTCTGAAACTGATGCCAGGTACATATTTCAGCCAAACAGGAAATCCTCTGCACAAATGGGAGTCAAAATTTAAGAACTAAAGTTAAAAGATAATAAATATGGAATATCAGAAAAACTAAAATAAATAAACAATTCTGATATCTGAAGCATTTATTCCTCACTGCATCAGACAGAATGCAGATATAACTCTAGCAAAAATAAACTATAGGGATTTGTGAAAACGGACTGCCAGCTGTCGACTATCTAACGCTTTCTTCCTCCGTTTTTTATCCGGATTTGAGACCAACATCGTAAGATAAGCGAAGTTTCTAGCAAAAATAGATAAATAAATGAAACGGAAAGTACGGTACCCAAAATTCCACTCTGCACAAACATAAGGTCCAATGCGCAGATGAAGAAAGAGCCCTGCTTTCTGTACTGTCTTTATGAACCGTACCAGATCGTATCTCCCTTCAAAATAATACTGAAAAGTACAAAATTATTAAAAAAGGAAAATAGGAAAGAAAAAAAAAAACTAAAATTTGAACAATTAAGTGAAAATTAATAGGAGTAGGTAGGAGTAGTAGTAAAAATAGTACGTTGCCAGGAGAAGGTTCATGGCCGTTCCAGAAAACGTAGGTATCGATCACATCCAAGCCTCCATCTTTGGCTTTCTGTATGAGGCCTTCCCACATCTACAGAAAAACCCAATTCATGATTTCTCAAAGACCACAAAAAAAAAATCACAAAATTCACATTTTTATGATTTTGGGATAGTGAAAGACAGAAGCACTGTAAGTGATTTTCGCACTCTTTTTTCTGTATATGCACAATGCCCGTGTTTATTTTTTAAACTTTGCATTAAATAAATCAAATGAGAATTAAAAGACATAAATAAATAGAATTGTGTGAGATGAGAAAACTAGAGTGCAGAAATCATTTTCC